GTTTGTAGCCCGCTTGGCCACCACAACAAAGGTCGAGGCCCTACTATTGAGGATAGGTCAGGTGTTTGGGTGAGTATGTGCCAGTGTTTTGTGAGTATTATACGTACTGTATTCCATTGCGTACCAAACCTAGTGATTATCCGTGTCGGGGCTGCGTCGTAGGTAAAAAAATCAGATGTAATCAATAATTCCTCCCGTTTACGTTTGGATGCTTTGGACTGAGATTTCCTAAGATTACTATGGGAATATCCCCTTTCACGGAATCTACAATAAAGGCCTCCTGTTTATAGTCTTCTTGGTCAGTACAATTGTGCCGAAGTCGAAGGAATTGGCCCGTGGGTATGCCCTGGATGAGAGATTTAGGATGATGGCTTTTCGCCATTAGGAGAGTGTTCGCCGCCGTTTCCTTACGGAAAGTTTTCGTAAATAGCCGGCCTGCCCTAACTGAAATTGACAGATCCAGAAAGGAAATTTGGTGTTCATCAAAAATGTATAAGTTTGATATTTCTATTATTATGATTCAATTCCGCCAGAAAGAGGTGGAAATCAGACACATCACCTGTCCAAAGCATCAGCACATCATCGATATAGCGTACCCACATAGACGCATGACTAAAATATAATTTGGACTGGTAGACAACCTGTTCCTCCTACCAGCCCAAATGCAAACATGCAAATGCGGGGGCCCATGGTCTAGGGGGGATTCATGTTTTTACTGCAATTAAAGATTTATCCATTTTTCTTATTACAAGCCACAGTTTGACCTCTTTTGGACCCGCTTGACTTAGGCATCTTGTGCCTCTGTCATTGTTTTCCCTGCTTATCAGTGTCACCTCATCAATACCCATCAATGATGCCCATCAGTGCTGCCTATCAGTACAGCCTCATCAATGCACATCAGTGAAGGGGAAAAATTTGCAAAATTTTATAATAGAAACAAAAAAAACTTTTTTTTTCAAAAATTTTGGTCTTTTTTAATTTATATGCAAAAAATAAAAAATATAGTGGTGATTAAATTACCACCAAAAGAAAAGCTCTATTTGTGTGTGAAAAAAAGATAACTTTCATATAGCATAACCGTGCAATTGTCATTCAAAGAGCAACAACGCTGAAAGCTGAAAATTGGCTTGGGCAAGAGAGGGGTAAAAGTGTTCAGTAGGCAAGTGGCAGGAGCGGACTGACCATTTGGAAACTCAGGCACTGCCCAAGGGCCCGGGGTCAGTAGGGGGCCCCATGAGATGCCCCTGGTACCTTTTTCATAGGCTTTTTGAGTTTGGGCAAGGACACAGGGGCCCCATGAGTTGTCAGTCAGCCCCTGGCAAGTGGTTGAGATTGTAATGATAATAATTTTTTCGGATATGGAAAACATTTTTCTATCAATAAAAATTAAACAAATTAAAAAAAACAAACTGTACTTAACCTTTAGGCCTGGTTCACATGCAAAAATGCATGCACAGTGTTTTCCATGTATTCCAATGGCCCTAGTACACACCAGTGCAGTCAGTTTCAGTCAGTTTCCAGTGCAGAAAAAAAGTAGATCATGCTGCATTACCATACTGGAACATGGCAAACTGCACCGGAACTGCATGTGGTGTGAACTGTAAGCAAAAATGTATCCAGAATGCTTGCGGAGTGCATTTTTTGTGGTGTGAACTGGCCCTTAAGGAGAATCTCCTTTAACCATTAGCCGCCCGGCCAATAGCTGTTTGGCCGGCAAAATGCTTTAGCTTTCCAGGTGGACGCCATATGGTGTCCTCCCGGGCATGCGCAGTTTGCGCGCTTGCAGAGCCGCGCAGCAGCGCGATCTGTCATTGGCCGTGTACTTCAGACACGGCCAATGACAGATCTGAGTACCGAGCCCCGTTGCCAGTACCATGTGACCTGCTGTGACCAATCACAGCAGGTCACATGACAGTTGTATACAATGGATGGCTTCATTCATGCCATCCATTGTATACTAGTGTCTAGCTGTGAATGGTCACAGCAATCACATGCACATGTCATGTGATTAGCCATGGCCAAATCACAGCTAAGCACTAAAAAAAAAAACCCTGAATGAATCGATGTCATTCAGGTAAATGCTTGCTTATAGCAAAGTAATTATTTGCTGTAAGCAAATTGCGTAAAAAAAAAAAAAAAAATACTGATCACTTCCCCAAAGTAGTACAATGTTTTTATGGTAACATTATACTACTTTGGTCATAGTGAAATATGAAAAAAATTCTTAAAAAAGAAAAAATGTAATAAAAAATAATAAAAAAAAAATAGTTATATATATTTTTTTTTCGTGCTGTCACCAGTCAGTGTCCCTGATCACCACCATGCCAGTTATATGATGACACTGTACTGCACTGGTGACAATATGTAGAAAAAAAAATTGTGAAAATAATTTTTTTCACTTTCCGAAAAATTATGAAAAAAAATACAACTTCAAAAAACTCGCCATGCCTCTTATGAAGTACGTCGGACTGTCTACTTCGGAAAAAGGGGTCATTTGGGGATATCTGTACTTTCTTGGACCTCAAGAAATTAGATTGGCTGTCAGTACTTCAGGATTGATCAATATTCAGATCTATACCATAGTTTGTGAACTCTATAACTTTCCTACAAACTAAAAAATACATCCTAATTTGGGTTATTTTCACCAAAGACATGTAGCAGAATACATCTCGGCCTAAATTTATGAAGAACAATTATTTATTTGCAAACTTTTCTAACAGAAACAAAGAAAAACGTTTTTTTTTTTTTCCAAATTTTCGGTCTTTTTTTGTTAATTTAGCAAAAAATAAAAACCCTGGCAGTGATTAAATACCACCAAAAGAAAGCTCTAGTTGTGTGAAGAAAATGATAAAATTTTAGTTTGGGTACAATGTTGTATGACCGCGCTATTGTCAAAGTGTGAGAGCGCTGAAACCTGAAAAATGGCCTAGGCAGGAAGGGGGTAAAAGTGCCCGGTATGGAAATGGTTAAAATAAAATGCCAATAACATGTTGGGTGATTCCATAAAAAGTCCAACTCTAAGCCACTGTGTAAATTTCCCTGGCGACTCCAAACCCTTTAACAAAGTGCCAATGCTCCATTTTGAACTTGTCTCACCCAATGATAAATGACTTCCACCCAAGGAGAGCGGAACTGCACACAAACTATCAGCCAAGTGACCGTAACGGTGTACAGAACGCCTTCAGGTTGCCATTTTGATTTGAATTTGACAGTTTTAGAAAGTTATAACAGCTTCAGATGGAAATGGAAAGGTAGCTTTTAATAACAATAAATTACAAAATGTTATATGCAATTTTATTAAAAGTGGAATTCCCTTTCATGTTGATTGATGTAAGCACCCCTGGCAGTGTTATATGGTTTAGTCCTTACACCGCAACTGCCACTTTAGCTGTATAACTTGGCCTACATAAGAATGTGACCACAAATATAAATAATGGCCTGTGAAAGAAATGATATGTATATAAGTATTAACCACATTCAGTTACCAAAATACACATCTTGTTCATTAGCAATGTACTCAAGCACATGGTGAGTTAATCTGACTTTTAACAATTAGTAACTTTCTCCTTTTGCCTCCCAGTCTAGATTTAGATTCTGCAATCATAAATGTTTTCTCCACTGGCTTGTGTAGTAATTGGTTGCATGACTGGAAAACATGAAACATTTGGTTCACTTACATAAGATGAGAATCTGTTGTGCAATCCTTGGGAACAGAGCACTGGTTTAATTAAAATGTACTCTTTAATGTGAGGGGAATGCTTTCAATTAGAGGCATCATAGTAACTCACTAATGCATGATGGGATCGTTAAGAGCAAGATCAGAGTCTTGATGAATGACTGGGAGGTTTCCCTCTACATGGTCTGCTTGTCAGGTTCAGAACTGAGTGTGTTGGTTTAATACGTAAAACAATGGTCGTAAAACAATGGTCGGAAGTCCTGGAACAAGAACCTGAACTGGTGTCAACATATGTGTCCTTTAACCACAAGCCTACAGGGCACTTACACCCCCTTCCTGCCCAGGCCAATTTCCAGCTTTCAGTGCTGTTACACTTTGAGTGACAATTCTGCGGTCATGCAACACTGTACCCATATGAAAATGTTATCATTTTTTGTGACAGAGCTTTATTTTGGTTGTATTTAATCACCTCTGGGTTTTTTTTATTTTCTTAAGCAAACCAAAAACCACTGAAACTTTTGAAAAAAAAAGTTTTTTCTTAGTTTTTGTTATAACATTTTGTAAATAAGTGATTTTTCTCCTTCACTGATGTGCTCTGATGATCAGTGTACATGTCCCCTCTGCGGAATGCCGATTACCGGCTCTCTTCTCCTCTCGAGCTGTCAGCGTGACAGCTCAAGGGGAGAGAAATGCCGATAACCGGCATTTACCTACTTACCTGTGATCAGCTGTGATTGGACACAGCTGGTCACATGACCGAGCCGACATCTTCGGCTCTTTCCATGGATCGGTGATCCGCTGTGTCCGAGGGACACCGCACACCGCGCCGATCGCTGCGCTGAGCGATCCGGGAGCCACGCAAGTGCGGTTAGAATGGGAGGACGTCATATGATGTCCTCCCAGAACAAGAGAACTGCCTTGCATCCGCCATATTACTATATGGCGGGCAGGAGGTGGTTAACCTCCCTAGCGGTATGATTATTTCAGATTTTTGGTGCTGAAAGCGGTACTTTTTTTGCATGGAAATATGTAGTTTTTTTATTGTAGACCTGTAATTCTTAGGAATAACTCACTGAAATCTGTCCGAACAAGAGTCTAGTAAACATCCCGGGTATGATAAAATTTGAAACACAAAATCATAAATTATAATTTAATAAATAATCATAAAAAATAATAATATAATAATATTACATTTAATTCAATAATATAATCAAACCAAAAACACTGAAATTTGAAATAGAGCGCCAAGTTCGCACATCGCTGAGCAAAGTCGCAAAATTGTTTTCAGTGTCTGATGACGAATTTCTCCACCAATCATTATCACTCAATTCTGCAAGTGGTTCTGATTTACTATCGCTGTTCTCTAGCTGATCTTAACCCGCTTTTGACCTAAAGGGACACTTTTTGGACGCCATGGACTTTTCTCAGTTTCCAGGCAGAAAGAACATTCAAAATGCAGACAGGGGACAGGACAGAGCACTAGGGACAATATGTATGTGAAATGGGCTGAAACAGCAATGTTTTACTATGTAAAATCGTTTTGAAAAAAAATGACATTTTTTTTAAAATTTTCAAATTTCCCGTACGTCCCGACGTCACAGGGACCGGAACACAGGAGCCAGATGCCGGCATCAGCCGGAGGAGATGGCCGGGGACGCTGCAGGGGACACATCGCGGGAGCGAAGGACAATGTAAGTGCTGCAGGGAATCCCTATGCAGTGCCGCATGGTAAGCGCGAGTGTAGCTCGGGGTTACCGCTTTTGGTACAGAGACTTTACCCCGAGCTACACTCGGGAATACCGTTAGGGAGGTTAATGAATAGGCAGGTGATGGAAGCATTGTCTGTATTGTGAGAATGGGGCAAATGTCAGGGAGGGAGAAAGTTTTTAAAAAGGTTGTAGAGCCACCAGAACAGGTAGCTCTAGGGTTGCCACTTCATCCCTTTAAAATCAAAGGTTCTGAGGCTAATTGAATGAAGATAAGGCACTAAGTGAGTTTAATTACCACCTTAATCAGCCACAGAACTTGTGTAAATAATATGTGTTGGGCTTTAAAGGGATGAGGTGGCAACCCTAGGTAGCTCAAGAGTAGATCCAAAACAAAAACAGATGGTTTGCTCCACAAAGGCTGATCCTTCTTAAACTTGAACAGGGTGGTTGTAGGACAAACAAAGTATGTGTCACCAGTACACCAAGGATCATTGAAGTGATAAAGTGCAACATGTTGGCAAGGGCGGACTGACAACTCATAGGCTTTTTTGAGTTTGGGCAGTTTTGTGGTGCGGTTTTAAAGCTTGGCAAATGCCTATCAAACACCTCAAAAATGCCCTTAAGGCGTTTGGGGAGCATTTGGGGACCATTTGAGGAGTGTTAAAAACACTTCCCAAACGCCTGTCTAACGCCTGTCAAACGCTATAGGGGCGTTCGGCAAGAGTTAGAAATTAGTCAAGTGTGAACGAGACCTTAAGGTCCTGCATGGTCCCAACATGCAGGGGCAGACTGACCATTTGGAAACTCAGGCAATGCCCAAGGGCCTGGGGTCAGTAGGGGGCCCATGAGATGCCCCTGGTACCTTTTTCATAGGCTTTTTTGAGTTTGGGCAAGGACACAGGGGCCCCATGATCCCCTATTGCCCGGGGGCCCCATGAGTTGTCAGTCCGCCCCGGCCATAGTCCTTTTACCCACAGTCCTTCTAATGTCCGCATATAGTATGCTTTGCAGTTCCACTGTAAAGACCCTTGTTAAATTCTGATAATGTTCTGGATTAACCGGCATGTGATCCAAGTTGTCATACGGTGCACTTATGAGTATGTACCACCGACATCGAAAGTTACACAGTGGAACAGAAGCTGAGAGCTCCTTGTTACTGCCCTGTAATCTCTTAAGCCTGTTTCTGACATAGACTGTTTGGCATTTCCTTGAGGGGCCGTAGAGGTCTCAAGGCTTTCATTTCAATACAGTTGTGATTTGTAACACGTGTGCCTATGACGTCTGTGACTCACAGGACCCAGTGAGAGGAGCCGGAGAAGAGGATCATGCGTTTCAAGCTGTGCCAGCAAATGTTAGCATGCTGATTACATGAAGCAGCACCATCTTACTGTCTATGAGGTTTGTAATCCTGGCGATAAACATACCTCCCAGCCTTCTGAGGCGCTCTTTGGTCTTTAAACAAACGACACACTGTTTTCATACCTGTTGGGTAAAGGATACACACATACGTTGCCTCCTAATGTTCCGAGAAGAGATAGAGCAGCCTTTTTTTAACCCTTTTTTGGAACCCTTGAAATAATTTTCAGGTTTTGTGGAACCACTACTAACACCCATTTATTGATGGGGGGGGGGGGGGGGGGTGTCAGTGGAAATAATTCCCTTTATATGAGTAATCAGAATGCTTCTTACATTGGTGGTCAGTGGGAGAATGTTACTTACATTGGTGATCAGTGGGAAGGGATCAGTGGGAAGAATGTTACTTACATTGGTGGTCAGTGGGAAGAATGCTCCTTACATTGGTGGTCAGTGGGAAGAATGTTACTTACATTGGTGGTCAGTGGGAAGAATGCTCCTTACATTGGTGGTCAGAGGGAAGAATGCTCCTTACATTGGTGATCAGTGGGAAGAATGTTACTTACATTGGTGGTCAGTGGGAAGAATGCTCCTTACATTGGTGGTCAGTGGGAAGAATGGTCAGTGGGAAGAATGCTCCTTACATTGGTGGTCAGAGGGAAGAATGTTCCTTACATTGGTGATCAGTGGGAAGAATGTTACTTACATTGGTGGTCAGTGGAAGAATGCTCCTTACATTGGTGGTCAGTGGGAAGAATGCTCCTTACATTGGTGTCAGTGGGAAGAATGCTCCTTACATTGGTGATCAGTGGGAAGAATGTTACTTACATTGGTGGTCAATGGGAAGAATGCTCCTTATATTGGTGGTCAGTTGGAAGAATGCTCCTTACATTGGTGATCAGTGGGAAGAATGCTCCTTATATTGGTGGCCAGTGGGAAGAATGCTCCTTACATTTGATGGTCAGAGGGAAGAATGCTCCTTACATTGGTGATCAGTGGGAAGAATGCTCCTTACATTGGTGATCAGTGGGAAGAATGCTCCTTACATTGGTGATCAGTGGGAAGAATGCTCCTTACATTGGTGATCAGTGGGAAGAATGCTCCTTACATTGGTGGTCAGTGGGAAGAATGCTCCTTACATTGGTGGTCAGTGGGAAGAATGCTCCTTACATTGGTGATCAGTGGGAAGAATGCTCCTTACATTGGTGATCAGTGGGAAGAATGCTCCTTACATTGGTGGTCAGTGAGAATGCTCCTTATATTGGTGGTCAGTGGGAAGAATGCTCCTTACATTGGTGGTCAGGGGAAGAATGCTCCTTACATTGGTGGTCAGTGGGAAGAATGCTCCTTACATTGTGGTCAGTGGGAGAAGGAGGAGGACACACTGAAGGAGCTCTCCCTGAGAACCAGCGTTTTCAAGCCTGGGCCTTGCCTGCTAGCTTGGCCCAGGAACCATGCCTGATCCAGGGGGAGGCCCTGGGAGGGATTCCCCTGATGAGACCGGGCCTAGTGAAGAGGAGGAGGTGGAGGACCTGACTGTGGGTCCCGGCCCTGGTGAGGATGTCATGTCTTCAGCAGAAGATTACTGATAGATTTGTGACTATTGGAAGAGCTGAGGAGAAACTTAATGTTTTAAAATCTGAACACAAATCCTTCAGAGCCAAATACTGCCAGGCCTGGAGCAAGAACAGATTGGGCATGAAGCCAGCGCTCCAGCACATGGAGGAGAAAGTAAAGAGACAATCTTTATTATTAGAAAAGTTGAAAGCCAAGAAGTGGAGCATTTAAAGAAAAGTTTGATAATGAGAGGAGATTTGCCAGCCAGACATCAGTGAGCTCTGTGGATCAGCAGCCTCAGGTAATGGATGACCCAGCTCCATCTACATCAGCGTCTCTCCCCCCATGTCAGGCTGTGGAATCACCAGTGGCAACCAGCCAGGGGGTTGAGGGTGAGTATGGAACCCTGAAGTTCATCCAGCACATGGAGTCACCCCTGAGAGCAGACAAGTTTGCCTTCACTGATGACCCTGCAGAAGTCCCTGAGGATGGACAGAGGAGGTACAGAGCAGCAAAGCCAAGACTGGTGGAGAGATCCCAGTACACCAAGATGGCTGCTTCCAGCATGTCTGCCCCACCTGCTGTGGTGAGTACTGTGGATGAGGAGCTCTGCAAGCAGCCTGCTGTGGAGGAATCCTCAGCCAACCTGGAGGAAAAATCCCTGGCAGAGAGGTCTCCAGACCATCAGGATGTGGATGAACCTGCACCAAGCACCCCACAGATGGAAATTGCTGCTGCTGTTCCTGCTGAGACCAGTAGTCCCTCTAAAGGCAAGATGGCTGCCCCTGCAGAGAGACTGTTTCACCTGAGCTCCCAGGTGCTCCAGAGCTGATTGATGCTGGTGGGGGAGGGGAGCAGCACACTGCACAACATGGAGAGCAAACAGCACACATGGATGTCTCACTTGTTGCTGTGTCTGAGAATCCAATCCAGTCCTGGGCTGAGTGTCCTTTCTTGGAAGAAGAGATGACTGATGGAGCTTCTATGGTTGCAGCAGTGAGTGCGGACATTTCTGTGAACTCTATGACTGTTGAGACTGGTAAAGCAATGGATGTGTTGGTGGTGGGTGGAGGTGAAGGGGTTAACATTGCTGATAAGAGGTAAAAATGACATTTCTCCCCCTGCTGAGCAGAGAGAGGATACACCATCCAATCCCGGATCTGTGCAATCGGTATCTGCTAGAGTTGCACCAGATGCTCCCAGACACACAAATGTTTCTGCTGCTGGGAGGATTGGGGGGAGCTATGCCTCTGTTTTGGGGAGTCGCACCAAGGGGGGGGGGGTAGTGTTGGGAATGCTAATGGTCACAATTTGGGGAGGTTTGGTGGTGGGATGGTTGGTGGGGTCAGGAGAAGGAATGTGGTACAGTTGAAGTGGGAGGGGGAAGGGAACCCACCAGTAAGGGGGAGGGTGGCGGAGTTGATTCTGGAGATGGGGTTTAAAGCCTGTGATGTGTTTGCATTGATCTGCCCAGTCGGCAGCTATGAATACGATTTGTCATTTGTAAAACCTGAAGGCCTGGACCTGTTTTTGGGAGAGATATAGGAGGTGCAGGAGCCTTCAGCAGTGGAAAGGTTTGGTGGCAAAGGTTGTTTCCAGACAGCCTTTGATAAAAAATCGGTGACAATCCTGGTCCGGAATGAATCCATACCAGAGGCTGATTTAGTAGTTTGGCTACGCCGACATGGTGAGGTCCTCACCCCACTGCGGAAGGTCCTGGATGAGCATAGGATATGGACAGGGGCCTGGACGGTGTCAGTGCAATTGAGGGTGCTGGGCAATGTGGTTCAGCATCTTCCCTGCTCAGCCTTTCTGGGGAGGGATAGGCTGACCATTTTCTATCAAGGTCAGCCTAAAGTTTGTAACAAATGCGGAGAGAAAGGCCATTTTGCATCGTCCTGCACCATCAAGAAGTGCTCACTGTGCCAGGATTTTGGCCATTTGGCCAAAGAATGCACCGAGATTCGGTGTAATTTGTGCCAGCAGCTGGGTCATCCATACAGTCTGTGCCCAGAGGCACTACACAACCTGCCAGGACTGGAGGCTGAGCTGC